GAAACCTTCATAAGAGTGTATATCAATGATACCTTAATAAAAAATAAATAAAATAAAGTGAATAGAACAGGGTCTGGTATGGAAAAAAAGAAAATAGAAATAAGCCAGAATGCAGCAGGAATAACAGTGTTAAAACACTTGAGATATGTTCATGAAGTATGATTGATGATCAACTAAACGTGAGCACCATCAAAGTATGGAAATAGTCAAAGGTAATTTTTCCTTCTAATATTTAGTAAAGGGTGATATTAAAAGCTCTAGATTTTAAGTAGAAGAAGAGGAAGAAGTTTGGACTCTAACAACTTGAAGTTTACCTCTAAATTGCTTGTAAGATGCCCAGATGGAAGTATTATCTAGAGCTCAGAAGAGAAGATGAGGCTACAGATAAAGATTTGAGAGTAATCAGGTTGTGTGAAAATGAAAAATCATTGGAATGACCTTTTTTTATTCATTAAAAGAAGAGGGATAGAGTAAAATTCTAAAAGAAAATTAAAAGTGGGGTGACATTTAAAATGGCTGCCATTTGTAAGGGCTCAGGTAGGTTCCCCCAGCTCAGGCATCCCGGGAATGCACTCACAAGTCTCTCCAGCTTGGATGTGGGTTCCTGGTCTGTTGTCCTGGTCCCAGGTTCAGCATCTCAGTCCTTCTTAGGTGTTAACAGAGCATTTTGTTTGATCCCAGTCTTGGATCTTCCCTTCCTAATATTTGTGTTTCTCTACAGCATCTTCTTTAATCTGTGAATGAATTTCACCTTAGACCAGGCCTATCTCACAGAATTCCAACCCTTGAATTGCCCTCAGAGTTCCTCCTTAGCTGGAAAGGGAAACTATAAGGCATCAGTGAACCAGGTAGAAAGTTAGCAGAGAAGGAAAAAAAAACCCATTTGGTTGCATGGGCACTATTCTAAAAATCTTGCCACTTTTATATCACCAATAGTGATATGTAATCCACCTTGATGAGTATTAGTTGTAGATATTCAAACTCACTGATATCGTGCCATTCTTCTGAGCATACCTTTATGATCAATATAATTAATGTTTTCAGATGCTCTGCTTTGGGAGAAAGTTCAGGCAGTTGAAGTCCCTCTTTAACAAACACTGTGCCTTACCTCCATGATAGATAGCCTTGTAGTAGTTACCAGGAGAATGTTGGAAATTTTGTTCAAAATCCTCCAACGTTCTTCGCTTTTTTTTCCTTTTCTCTTGTTTCCCTATTCCCTCTGTTCCTTCCTTCTCAAGTTAGATTTCCACGTATGTGTAGAATATCTTCTTGCCATAAAATATCCCTATTGCTCTTCCAATGAGCCTATTTTTAAATATATTTACCCTTCTTCCAAAATTGAGTTATACCACATCAAGTTTACTCAGAAAACATTTTTTACTAATATTTCAAAACAATTTTTGCACTAAATGTATACTGTGTGTAGGGTCTAGAACAATCAACTTTCTGTTTTATTTTTACATTTTTTTATGATGGTTAACTTCATAGCCCCCTCACAGTTTCCAGTAAAATTGTAGGAAACTTCATTATCTAATTGACATTTTGCTAAATGATGGACCACTCATAATAAAATCAATTTTAGAAATTAAACAATAAATCCATTCTCACTGTACTTAGGAGAGGCTAAAAAATATGTTTTTCATTGTAAATGTATTCATGAAGGGGTAAATATTGAAAAGATAAATTCCATAATAATGAAAAATGTTTGGCATCTGGTTAGTGGGAGAGGGGATGAAACTAAGAAAAAAATACAGATAATATAATTTCTGAATCCTTAGAAGTTTTAAATAATCTAAACCTAGCATAATGCCATCTTCTCTTCTCTCTGAATTTCTGTTACTCTCTCTGCACTTTTTATTCCTTAAATCCTTTAATTATAGCCCTGGGCCAGCTGCAGCAGTGAGGAATATAACTATGATTTTCTAAAACTCTGTACATTTTTCAGTTTCCTACAATTCACTACCTCCTAAACAGATTGGACTTGTAACTCAGCTTTCAGGGGAAAAGTGTGGGCATTTGTACTCACAAAAGATTGACTGTGAGCCAATCCAAGTGGTTCAGAGATGGATTGTACTGGGCTCAGTTTATTCACTGAGTTCTGCCCGAAACCACCTATGTCTCAAGGCAACAGCCACTTGTCTCTGTAGTGATGGGGTGGAGGGAAAGAGGTTCCACCAAATATTCACATCTTCCACAGTTGTGAAGCTGTGGACACTGCCACTGGTACTACAACCTCCATCATCACGAATTTAGGGCCTCCATACAGTGCCCCAACATAAAGACCCTGTATTTGCCTATTGGCTGTATGGGATGCTGGGAGGCTGTGCCTTCCCTACCATGTACCTAGATGAATCAGCTAACAGAACCCAGCAACTTGGGGAGGTAACACTGCACAGGGCAGACAATAACCAATAAAAAATAGGAAAGTGAAGGAACCAGCAAATAAACTGCCTTTTCCTCCCCTCAATGCAATAGTTTCACATAGCCCTTCTACAGATTTCCTGCAGCAATTAAGAGCAACTCCTACCACTACAACATAAGCATGTGGAAAAGTTGAAATATGTAAAATATGTAGCAGGTAAAGATTAATTTTTAAAAATCTGTAGTTCTATGAAAGACAAAGTAAACTTTAATGAATAAAACAGCATAATTAGGAATAGTGGCTAAATACCTAATAACAAAAAAAGTAATTCATTGGAAAGATTTAATAATTCTTAAGTTGTGTGTACCTAATAAAACATCTTCAAAATATCCAAGCAAAAATGGTTGAAACAATAACAAAGTGACAAATCCCTAATCATAGTGAGAGACTTCCATTCACCACTTTCAATTAGTGATATAGTAAGCCAAAAGAAATTTTAAAATAGCAATAATTTGAACACATAATTAACATATTTCTAATAGCAATGTAAGAAACTGGAAAAAAACATACTCTTTGGTAAGTGACTGAATTTTTAAAAATTGTTATATAGTCAGTGGAATACCATGTAGTAAACAAATTACACCTGCATGCAACAACTTGATAAACCTAAAAAACACAGCCTTCAGTGAGAAAAGCAAGTTACAGACACAGACAATGATACCATTTATAAACCTTGAAATCTAGAGAGAGATAATTTCTGATAGAAACTATTTGAAAAGCAAAGGAAGAATAAGCCCACCATTCAGAGTATCAGTTAACTTTTGAGATTGGCAGGGGATGGGATTTGGAAGAAAGCATATTTACAGCCTCACTGATATAGGTAATATAAATCTCCAGAGCTGGAGATTGTGACTGTTTTATTTTCATACTTTTGTGATTTTTTAAGTATCAAATATTTTATTGTTGTGCAGATGAAATAAATAATCATGTATCAATTTTTGAATATATTATGTAATAAAACAATTGTAAAATGTAAAGATTAGTTTTAAAGTCATGTCTATTCAATGGAGCAAGGTATATCACTAATTACTGATAAAATTACTCAGGAAAATGAATTTTAACACTTTCATTACCAAGTTTTATTCACTGTAGCTCTTGAGATTTGGTCTACTCAGAAAAGATCATACCTTACTACTCTGAACCCTCTAGATGATCAAAATCAAGAAAATAATTATTTTTAAAATGACAAACTTTGACTCAACTTAGTGGTCTGCTTTCTAATTTCACTTCAATACTTTGTCAATACAGAAGGGGTATATAGTATGTCCAGGAAAATTTGCCATGTTTTATCTAATTGTGTTCACTAGTGTGTCTATAACTGAAATTACCAGTGAATGTATAAAATTTTCTTAATGTAGAAGAATATTAGCATTTCTAGATGTCATTTAAATACACTCCTTTGAATTGCACATGTTGTATATATATATAGAGAGAGAGAGAGAGAAAGCGAGATAGAGACACTTCCACTGCCGTTCCTGCAAACCATTAGCAGAGTCTGTACACACAGCTGTGATATAAGTGATAAGGTCAGAGAACACCAAGACGATGTGCTAGCCTGTTCATTTTACTCCTACATCCTGCCTGAAGTCCATGTATCGCTTATATCTTAAATATACACAGGCATTAAGAGATACTATAATGATTACTAGCTGATGCCTATCAGACCTTGAGTTTTTCATTTATTAGATGTGAGATCTTGGCAGGTTATTTATAATCTCTCCACCACATTTTCTGCGTTTAAAAAGTAGAGATAATGTTTTGCCCCAAGTGAGAGCAGATAAAATAATACATGTGATGTTTGTAGCACAATGTCCTGTGTATTTATTGAAAGCACTCAATAAACTGTAAGCTGTTGTCATTATTACTATATGGTTTAGGTAGTGCTTACACCTGTGACTAGTTTCCTTCTCAAAGGAAACAGTGCTGGTGTTATTTTAACCTTATTTAAGATTTTATGCTCTATAAAGTCATGTTTATATGTGTGGAGATTGGAAATAAAGGAACAATCAATGTATCAGTTTCAGCTGCAAGAAACAGAAAACTCAACTAAAAGTGGCTTAAGCAATAAGGAACATTTATTGCATCACATATCACGAAATCTTTTATAAAGGTAGGGTGGTACTGGGTTGCTTCAGAATCTTTTTTCCGCAACCCTTAGTGTATCCATTACTCTCCAGCCTTATAAGGTGGCTGCAGTAGCTTCTGATAGCTTCACACAAGACTGTTCATAAGTTGGATAAAAAGTGTCTGAAAAGTATGGAAAAATCTTCCTAGAAGATGTTGTTTGGGACTCTCCGGCCACAACTGCATTACGTGCCCCTGGAAGTGGGGCTGGAAAGCTAAGGTGGTGACGGACAGTATTTGTCACAGTGAGGATGTGAAGCAGGACTTGGAAGTAGCATTGAAAAGGCTAATTAATCAACAAATATTTACTGTATCACATCTAATGGTGTACAGAGAGCTATTTCTATGAATATTTGGGGAAAATAAAAAGAAATATGTCATTAAGAAGAAAATGGAAAGATTTTCTTTATATTAAAAAAGCAATTATTAGCAGAGACAGAGTAAAAGAGAAAAATTACAAAATTATAAAAGAATATGATCACATTATTTCTATAAAAACAAATACCTTATCTATACTTATTTCCTCTTTATCCTTAACATTTCCCACAAGGGAAATAAGACTCATTTTAGTTTCAGTATTAGCATGCCACAGGGTTTGAAGAAGTTCCTTCTGATGGTTGCCTGGACACTAACATTTTTAAAATAAATGGGGGACCCTAGAAAAGCTACTCAATTTGCAATTCAAGAGGAAAACTGTACTGACAAACTAAGCACTTAGCATGTATATATATATATTACTGTACTAGACTTTTAGGCTTACTGATGAATAAGCATGAAAACACTTAGACAAACAGGAAGAGATACCATACTTTAGTTCAAAGCCATCACAGGAGCTAAAAAATTCCTTTGTGTACATTTTTGAATTTTGAAAATATTGATGATTTATAATAGCATGTATTGAATCAAAATGGTCATCAGGAGAGTAACCAGTAAATATTTAATGGATTTGTGAACATTAGGCTTATTATTTTTAACTTGTTTCCATTATAGGTAAAAAGGAATATTGAAAAAAAAATTGCAGTGGTGGTTTTTGCTGAAGACACCATGTTTTAAAGGCTCTGAACTCATAAAATTTTTAAAGCTAATAGCAACCTTATAAATTATTTCATCCTGCCTCCTAATTTTACTAATGAGATGCAGGTAGAAAAGAGGTTGAGTGACTTCTCCCGGCTCAGGCAGCTGGCTTGTACCCTTCTCGGCCTGCTTGTACCTTTTCCACAAGCTCTTTCCATTTTTTCTCTCTAGTGTATTAGCATCCATCATTTTTTTCTCTTTCACTCTTGAAATACACAGTACCCTGAAACCAAAATTTTAAAGCAGACAAGTAATACATTTTGTTTAAATTTTAAACAACTCTGTCAGAAACAACTCTGCAGAAACAATCTGGAGAAATGGATAATGTTTTAAATCAATTGTGCTTTCCCCCACCTTTATTGAGGTATAATTGACAAATAAAGATTATATTAAGGTGTATAATGGATAATTTTACATATATGTGTGTGTATATATATATATTAGGTTTATATTGCTTAAGTCATTATCTGATATCAACACATGTGTATATATAGTGAAATGATTTCCACAATCAAGCTAATTAACACATCTTTCATCTCACATAGTTAAATACCTTTATTTTTTCTTATGGTAGTGAGAACCCTTAAGATCTACTCTATTAGCAAATTTCAGTTATACAATACAGTATTATTAACTATAGTCACTATGCTTTACATTGAATCTCCAGAATGTATTCAGCTTATAACTTAAATTGTTAAATTGTGTACCCTCTGCCCGACATATCCTCATTCTACCTACCACCCAGCCTCTAAAACCATCATTCTACTCTCTGTTTCTATGAGTTCAACTTTTTTTAAATGCCACATTTCAGTTATGCTTTTATTTGCTCAACTTTGGGTTCTAATATCTGAGCTGATCACTTCTCTGATAGTTGGGAAATCTCACACTAATTCCGTTCCTCACAAGCATACCATCATCAATATTAGCCAAAGAATATTAAATAGTATAGAATAACCACCATAATTATAGAAGAATAACAGAGCAGAAAGCCAAAGTTGTTCAAAGCACCTTCCCTAAAGCTAAGTATAGTCCTTGTAGGGAGATTGGTCTGAATAAAGTATTTCATCTCTAATTCTTGGCCCTGCACTAAAATCTACTCCCTCTCCAAACTCGAATGTTTCAAGGGGACATGGCCCAACCTTATTTTAGGAATACACCTCTGTTAGGTTTATATTGCTTAAGTCATTATCTGTTTGATATCAGCACATTCTTTAGACAATTCCCTCCTGGTCTCATTGCAGTTCATGTCCATTTCAAAATCAACCTGCTGTTTTCCCTTCAGAGATACATTCTTTCAATAAATATTAGTTAAGCACTTGGCATATTCCTGGTGTCCTAATAGGCTGTAGAGATACTTTGGTGAGCAAGAAAGGAACAATTTCTTTCCTTACAGAGCATTTAGTTCAGCAGGGAAGACATGCAATTAAACAGCTAAACTCAATGTACTACTTGCTCTGACCTAGAAATTAGGGAGTATGATGAAAGCACATGACAGAGACATCTAATATAACTTCCAAAAGAGGTTGCTTCTAAGCTGGACTCTGAACAGTGAGTAGGAAACTCACAGGCAAAATGGGGCAATTTCATTTTTACTGTTGTGTTTGGTAATTCTTCCTTATTAGTTTTTCAACAAAATTGTTCTTAAAAGAGTATTTAAAAATCTAAAGTTTTTCTTTTGGAAACCTGGATTGGACTTTTTCTCCCGAATTTATTTGCCACATCTAGATTACTGTACTTCCTGGAACTGAGTCTTAGTATCTGAATTTAATTTCTGCTTAGAATCACATGGGGTAATATTTAAATATGAAGATTTAGGTATCCACCCTAGTTTGCTGAAACAGAATCTCTAGGAGTGTAAGAAGAGAAAGAGGGAGAACTCAAATTTGCATACTTATCAAGTCCCCCCTCATACACACTAAAGTTTGAGACTTATTGGCTACCATCATTGAGTATATATTCAGAATGTAACTAAAATCCTCTTCCCCAATTTCCTTCTAATAGCCTCAAAATGGAGTGTATGTGTCTTTTCAAGGAAAACTATTCCTAACATCCAAATGCCAAAAAACTACCCTGATTATTTCCCATTATATTACCTAAGGCACTATGTTTGTGTATAAGCATTTCCTGGGACTAAACTGACACATGCCTAGAGCAGTCACCAGTTACTGTGGCTCTCTTACTTGTAGAAGTAGGAATTAGAAAGGTCAGTTTTCAAAATTTCTGCATAGCCTATCTGGAGTTGTATATTTTTATCCAGGAAAACAAAATCACAGTTACTATAAGTGACTAGCCTCTGGCCAATTCAAAAAACTGGAGCAAAGTTTATCAAAGTACCCTAGAGTTTCTGACCCCAAATCCCATGTTCTACCAACTAAATCATCTTGGTGCCAACGAATATTGCAAAGAACTATTGTATTAGTTAGGATAAGAGTACCCTACTGAAGAAAAAAAAAACACACAATGATAATTCAATGGCTTAAGGAAGATTCAGGTTTATTTCTCATGTTCACAGTCTAAGATGAGTGATCCAACTTGAAGGATCTCTCTGTTCCATAGGGCTTTTATGTGACTAAGGTCCTTTCACTGTGTACTTCTCCATTCTCTAGAACATTCTACCTGTCTGTGGGGTAAAGCAGTTTGTTATTGGTTCCAGTTAGCGGGGAAAGGCATGAGAGGGTAAAAAAGCCCAAGAAATGCATACATCACTTACATTCGTAGTCTGAAAGTGAAAACCTAGTGTTGCAGTCACACATAATGAGAACGGGCCCACAAATGTCATCTGTAGCTGGGTGGCTACATGCCCAGCCCCAACTGTATTACTGTGGGAAAAAGGAAGAACAGATATTATTAGTATAAGCACCAATCTTCATAACTGTGCTTTAGAAATGTGCTTTTGCCATAAAAGAGTTCATTGACCCTGAGAAAATTGAACATATCTTTTTCACGATCATAGGACTTTATTAGTTAAACAAGAAATAAGGCTTTTTTTTTTAAATAAGTCTGCCACTTTTCTGTTGCCACATAACAAGCCACCCCAAAACTTACTGGCTTTGAACAGGGATCTGCAAACTTTTTCTGTAAAGGGCAAGACAGTAAATATTTCAAGCCTTGCAGGTCATACAGTCTCCATGGCAACTATTCAACTCTACCCTTGTAGTGTGAAAGCAGTGGTATCTGTGGAAAGAAAGTGGAAAGAAAGGACAATACACAAACAAATGAGTGTGACTGTGCTGCAATAAAATCTTATTTCCAAAAATATGGGGTGTTTTGGATTTGGCCTATATGGGCTGTAGATAGGTTGACTTCTGACTAAAAACAGCTATCCTATTTTTGATTATGATTCTGTGGGATGATAAGTAGTTTTCAGTTAGCAAGCAAGCACTCTGAGGCTGAGTCATGGAGAATGGCTTGGTCGATCCTGGTATTTGGCAGCATGGTTGACCCCGGGGAGCCTCACCTGGTATGGCTCATTTCCACACCATGTGGTCACTCATTCTCCAGGAAACTAGCTTAAATTTCTTCACATGGCGGTCTCAGGACAGCAAAGACAGTAAACCCTAACATGCAAGTGTGTGTCCAACCTCTGCTTTCATCACGTTTGCTAATGCCCTTTTGGCCCAAGAAAACCTCTTAGCAACACTGGATTGAAGGGGCAAAAAACTTTGTAAACAATCTACCACAAAGTCTTTGAAGTAATATAAGTCGTTATAATTTAATTCAACTCCAACAGTTTCTTTTCCTACTACTAAATTACTGGAATTTTAAAATAGTTTAACAAAAAGAGGATATTCATACTTCAAACGATAGTGGAAAATGTATATGCAAACTTACTTTAAGATATTATAAAAATTATATTCCAAAGTCAGAGAAATGAAACAAAGATTTTAAGAATTAAGTATTCCAAGTTGAAGAATACCTAGGTGGGAGTGATAGGTAGACAACTAAGCAGGGTTATTTCCAGACCATTTAATCTTTTCTTAATTTTCTTATTTCCTGCAGTGCCTTCCTTTAAAGTTTCAGGGTATACACACTGCCTGTCATCTTGATAGACATAGTGGCTCTGGCTCAGAAATTTTCTGTTTGAGCTTTCCAAACAGTGGGGTGTCTAGCTAGCATCAGTCTTCATATAAACTTATCAAGAAGTTTTGAAGAACTGAAGACATGGATTAAATTTAATTCAGGGGTTGGTGTGTTAAAACCCCAAGAGATGCCCTTGAGCTTCTATATATGAGTCACGGTAGGAAACAGAATTTTTTTTTGACTAGTCATACAGAAGAAATTACTGTACACATATTGGGAATTATTTATCTTTACAAAAATCTAATAATATACAGGAGAAACCATTTCACTTATAAAGTGAGTGAAATAATTTTTATGAACTCTTCTCTCCTGAAATTTTGGCGAACTAATTGAAATGCTTTCTATTGCGTTAGAATAGCAAAATTGTTCTATGTTCCTGTGTAACAGGCTGAATTAAATTACTAGAGTGCTACCATTATTGATATTTACTAGGTACCAGAATCATATGAAATATATCATCCATTGAAAGGTCTGCAAAACCCTATGAGAACCTGTCAAGTCTGTTTTTAATTTTCATATAAAAAAACAAAAAAACAAAAAAAACTAAAGCTTAGAAGGATTAGGGAATTTACCCAAGATGTAGTGGTGCATTGGTAAAACAGCACATGGGGAATAAGCCCTGACTCACAGTGCTTGCCAATTGTAGGGGTGTAAATAATCTCGATTTGGCTGATTTCAAACTACCAGTGTGAGGTCAGTGAACATGAAGTTGGGAAGAGATGCACATAATCAGGTATTGTGAGCCAGTAGGAGGTGGCTGTGGTAAATCACTGCCAAGATCATAAACATAACAGGAAGTTGGGCAGCCAAGATTTGAACTCCTGGTTGCCTACAAAGTCTATCCTTTAACCCATCATACAATAATGCCTTTTAATATAATAAATTATTCACCTGATATATTACAAAAATCATGAATGTCAGTAATATCTTTAATCTCAGATACATAGATGCTTCTTTATTTTCTTTTGGAAATAAATACAGGAAATATTCTCTCAGAATTATTCAATAGTCATGTTAGAGGACAAAATATGTGCTCCTCCATCACCATTTCCAGTATACTTCCCTTTCCAGTTTTATCTTAAACTTCCACAATTTTAGCTAGTCTTACTTGTTCATATTTCCTTGCCACTTTTCATTTTGAAATCCTTATGTTTAGTCCTCAACAAATTACTTTGCTGTTTCAGACTGTTTACTACTTTCTTTTCATTTTCATAGTTTTTTTTTCCTACCTTATAGCATAACTTCACACTGCTGCTTTTTAGACCTTCAAGATTTTGACATTCCTGGTTTGAGCAAATAAGTAGAAATATAGAAGTTTAATTACTAAGATAAGATAGGTTCATACTTTGAGAATTATTTAATCTCAATTATTAAAAATTATTAAGGGTCTCAGAGTATCCTCATCTGTAAATGGGATAATAATAGTACCTTCCTTGTATTGTGTGAATGGTTTATCAATTAAAAAAAAAAAATACCCGGCTGCTTCTGGAGAAACAAATACCGTGTGTCTGAGATGAAGGTGTGGGTGACGCCTTGAGAATGGATGAGATCTAGCATTTCATGCTTATGACGAACATACTTTGATGATTGGTAGGAACATATCTCAAAGATTTGAAAACAATAAACTTTTGAAAGTGATGGCATTTTTTTTTACACTATGAAAGAAAATTGTACTTGGGTATATTCTTTGTATCACAGGTTTTATACTAAGAATTTCCAGCCTGTGTTAAGAGAATTAAGATACTCATGAATACCATTTACAATTACCATGGGTTAAAAGATTGACAAATGAAAAAAATTGTTTTTTCCAAGTATTCTTATACATCTTAAGCTTTTTTCTAAAAGAAGAAAACAATGTGCAGATTAGTATGCATTTATATCTGATTGGTAAGAGGAAATTAGTGGAAGCATACCTGTGATGATAGATCAGTGCATATTTATACTATGCCAGAGCAAATGAAAGTATTAAAACTTATCAGAATTTTCATAATTTCTTCAAATGGCTGAATTGAAGTGAGTGGATACACAGCAAGTGTTTCCTTATATACTTCTGCAGAAAAATGAAAGAAAAAAATTAGGTTGATTTTTCTTTATATAAAATGAGCCCCATTGTATATTTTCTTCCCATGCAAAGACAGGTTATATACTGTGAAAGAACTAACTTAAAAATGATAATTCTCACCATCAAGAAGTAAAACAAAAATCTTACCCTCTTTTTGGTGTATTGTTCTTGTGGGTTCATACAAAATTCAGTGACATCTTGATTTTCCATTGAAATTAATATTTTTATTATGCAGCATATCCTAGAGTTTTGAAGAGTTGTACAGAGTGGTGAATAGGGGAAAGTTTTTTGGTGTTTTTGGCCTGGTGCATTTTCAAGTACATCCAGACAAATGAAGGTAAACAGGAAGCAGAGATAACAGAGGATTAAGGTTCCAATGTAATAAAACCAGCAAAAGGAATAACATTGAACTCTGAATCAGGAAATGAGCCCATGAGTGAATTAAATTTTAAATAGTGGTTAATTATAATTAAACTTCAAACATTATTTGTAAAGCATGTATCAGACTATTAAATAGAGCATTTAACAAAGTTTACATTTTGCATCTTCTTATTTACTCCTCCTTCCTCAACTTCTTTTCTAACATTACAGTTATGTTAGAGAAAGCCATTTCATATGCCCAATAGAAGATAGTTTAAGACTGTAATAATGTTAGGACTTAGAAGGGGAGGAAAATCACTGACTTAAAGTTTAACCAATGTCCTTCTAATAAATGGAAAGTACTCATAATGAAAGTACACCTGCTTCAACATCAAGAAAATAAATCTATTGAACACAGTACCTCTGTTCTTTTCAAAACCAAAGGAATCTTCTTTATGCTTCCAATGGCTTTACTTATTAAATTTTATCATTTAATAAACAGCATGTGTAACTTGGCAATAACATTTATACAGGCATTTGTCCCTCTGCAATTATAAAACTTGAATTTTCTCTCTGTATAGCATATTACCATGTAGACTAACATGTTGTTTCTCTTCAAATATTGGTAGTACCATAAGGTGTGAGTTTAAATTATTAAAACATGATAGTTGAGAGCTTTATTTTATTTGGAGGAAAATATGGGGAGATATCAGTTTGTGCATAACATTTTAGACAGCAGTAAATCTAATTTTTCTCATAATTCTGGGTATATTTTTTACTGACCAGTAAAATTAGACATTTTGGAAGTTTCTGATAATTTATTTGATCTGTAAAAAAAGCTTCACTGATGAGTATTAAATATAAATACACTCTAGTTTAAACAGATTGTAAAACAGAAGTAGTGAGAAAGCTAAATAAATAATAAATCAAGTAAAGAAGAGTCAGGATTAGTCACAAAATGAAAATGAAAGCTCTAATAATGACAAAGTTGTGAACAAAACATTTAAAGAAAATGCAAGACACATATCTTAGATTTCTAAGTTTCCATTTCCTCAGAAGTTTTCTGGGCTTCATTTTATTACTAGATTATGAAATCTAGCCTAATGAATATAAAGCATGCTGAACTCACCAGGAATGCTACCAAAATTATCTTACAACATAAATATCAATTTTGTAGGTCCTTAGTTTAATCACTCTATTGTAAAGATGTTACATTTAAGAGTTCTAATCCTTCACTGTAGGCTACCATAATTCCTCAAACCTTTATTTATTTATGTAAACAACCCATTTCATTACCAGATCTTGCTTCTTGTCTTGAACATTTTATTTTTATATTCTAATTTTTATAGAACAGTAGAGAATGTTTAAGTTGACCATTTTTATCGAATACATGGTTTGTCATAAGCAATATAAATGAATACATTAATTGCCTTATCATACTTTAATCTGACAGATGGGTCCCCAGGCACAGAGCCTAACCTTTTATTTTGACACCTGCCATATTTAGCCAGCCCTGACCCTTTTTCTTTGCCAGACTGTTGCTGTGCTGTTCACCATGGTTGCACTTATCTGCGGCTTTTAAAAGGTATAATATTGGAACCCTTCTGATAATCACTACTATCAATCAGCTGATACTATAATAAAAATTATTTCACAGATCCATCCAATATCCCTTCTCTCCTGTGATTTAAACACATTCTCTCTTATTTCTGTGACCTACTGGCTCAATAAGATTACATGCACTTGTTTTAATATAATAACCTGTATTGTTAACCTCTGATAAAAGCCATTTAATTTAGTAGTAATTTAAAATTTAGAATTTATTGGAGAATTTAAAAAGTTACATTTTCATTTTTATACTGAAAGATATTTCTTTAGTACAAGGCAAGTATGCTATTTTAATACAGCTAAAGAGTTTTAAAAAATCTTAAGACATTTATTTAAAAACCAAACAAGCATCAGGGCAATAAAATACATATTTAGAATGCACTCAATCGCAGACCTGCACCTTTGATTTCTGGGGCAATTCCAGAAACCACTAACATGTGATATGTGCCTTGATTCATATGAACTAAAAGCACATGTCTGGTCCATTAGACAGTGGTCTGGTTCTGAAGAGTTCTGCAAATTGGAGGATGTACAGAGAGCAGATAAGCTGTGAAAACTCATCCATTACTGAAATAATTTGATATTCATTTTAAGGGATTCCTTTCTTGAGCAAAATGAGACTATAGTTAACTATAGAAAATGTAATCAAACTTCTTTGGGAGTATTTGGAAACAAAGAAATTGAAAAGTAGACATATAGATATATAGGAGATAATATTTGGTAGTAAACATAGTTTTTCACCTGAGCAACCCAGTCTGCCTTACAGTCTCACTGCAGACTGAAAGCCAGTTAGCGATTTGTACATTAACAACTTGTCTTTCAAATATGGCATCTATTGTTTCTGAAATAAGCTTACTTGGTATAAGGGGGGAAGCCTTGGACTATGTCTTAGATAAGCCAAGTTTCTCAAGTAGTTCAGAGTCCCACTTACACTGTAGTTTAGGATGTTCAAAGAAAATACTGTTTCATGCCTGGTGCTAAGGGATATTCGAGTTGAAAGGTAATCCTAGAGTTATAACAGCTTTTTATATCTCAGCATCAACAGTTTTTGAATTGCTAGTGAGCCACAGATAATATGACTCAGATCTATTTCACATCCTTTTTCTACTCTGCCCCAGTCCAACTTGCACAACTTGGGAGTTTCTGCTAGATCATATTTTAAGCATGTTCAAAACCTTAGACTATCATAGAAAATCCTTTCTTCTCTTATTAGACCTAAATTCAGGGGCAAAAATTCTGACTGGTCTAGCTCATCTTTTCAAGCCTGGCCACAGTTCATAGATTGCTGGCTAGCCTACCCTTATGTCCCAGTCAAATCAGCTGTAAATGTAAAAGCAGAGATCACTTGTGAGTAAACATAGCCAGTTACATAGCAGACGTTCTGGATGAGGATGATTCTCTTAGAAGCGGTATGTCATGATTGACAGACAGAACTCAAAGTGACTGTAGCTGGTTCATGTGCCATTTGCTACCCATCCAAAACAATAAGCTCATTTATTTAATGATACAAATACTAAGGACTGAAGATATTCAAAGGAAGAAGAGAGGATTCATACTATGGTGATTAGAGGAAAGTTAGACAGTAGGTAGGATTAATATAGTACCTTGAAGAATGAATGAGATTTGGAAAGGTAGGAAGGACAAACTAGGCTATTCTAGGCAGAATAAAACTCAAGCCAGAAGTGGAGTCAGAACATCTATGTATATGTGCATGAATATGTGTGGGTATTCCAGTAGATAAATGCCCGAAAATAAATTTAAAACCCTGAAAATTATATTTCAATTGGCAATCTTAATTTTTTTGCAGTTTTCCTCACCTAAGTATGATATTTCCTACCTAAAGCACCTAAAGCATGATATTAAATTACTAAAACTTGAATTCTTTAAAAATAGAACTGCTTTTACATTTATATCATTTACTGTCACATAATGCAAATGTTACAAATACAAAAAATTTAACAAATCATTTTCTGTAAGTAAAATACAGTAATTTAAATTAAATGGTAACTTTTAAAAATCTCATAAACAATTCAAAGAATAAAATGTTAGTATACTTTCCTGTGGATATCCGACATCTCAGCATAAGGTAAAGAACAAAAGAACTGAATGTTAAGAGAATTTCTTCCCTAATAAGCAACTTTATAACCTTAGTAATACTATTACTTTACAATAGGGTCATAATAATTAAATTATAGAAATTATAGAGCATTCTGTAAATTTGAACCACTGTACAAATTAGTACTTCTAGAAAAGTCCACCTAGTATGACTGCCATTATTTTAATACAGAAGAGCTATGACACTGTTAGTGATGCTGTTTAATAGTAGTGATTTTAATAAAGGTTTTTGGTACTTCAGCATTCAGCTATATGACAACAACTTAAATTACCAAGGTATTGACAATTCTGTTTGTATAATATTGTTTTATTTTTTATCTGAAGTTTTTTACATCATAAGATTAAAATCAATTATTTAATTGTTCAAGTTATATAAAAATAACAAACCCCAAATGATCTATAATTCTAAACTGGTCACTGGCTAACATAATAAGCTACCACATCATGGTGCTGCAAACTTGTATTGTAAGAATAATCCTACCTGGTGTCATATAAATAAGGTAGTATAGAAAGTGAGAGAGGTAACTCTGTGTAGAAATCTCCAAGTATGTAAAACAAATTGAAGATGGTAAGGCAAAACTGCAAATGTTTAAACAAGAGAAACAGCAAATACAGCTCTAATTTAATTTTTAAAACTGCAGTTCTGAAGAGGAAAAAGGTAAATAAAAAAGATGTTAAAATTATCAAACAAGAAGTAGAATTATTTGAAGATGAAGGAATCAGAGGACAATGTGTAGAAATAGCTTAAACTTATTCTTCAACATTTCCCTGACAATGTAGCTATGGAAAGAACTTACTGATTAGTTAGAAGATTACCACAAAATAGATTGAATGAAGCTTTCACTCTTAAGGTCACAAATTTATAAAACCAAAGAATATTATTCTGCCTTCAATTTGTCTTAAATAATTAACTGTTATTCATTTTTCTAATATTTTGCTTATTTTATACTTTAATTTAATCTAAGAATAATTTATAAAATGTTTAATATTCACATAAATTTACATTTTTTGCTTTTTCCATTTTGTTTGTAATGTTTGTAAATGTTTATATTTGAAAAATGCATGAAATATTTAGCTTTGATTTTTTAATTACTTTTTTAAAGTATTCAAATAAACTATATATATATATATATATATATATATATAAAACTTGAAACCGTGAAACTCGTAGAAGCAAGCATAGGCCCTAGATCTTTGACACTGGTCTTAGCA